CATAAGTGGTACTTGATCTGTTGGACTTATGAGAATTATAATGACTTGTTTGCAAGAAAGCATATTTATTTCCTAATTATACAAATTAACAATTAGGGTGCCAGGAAAACAGCTTCTGGACTGGGAGAACATAACATTGTGGGTATGTGCCTCGCATTTGCTTCAAGTTTCGAAAGATCTTGGCGTTTTCATCAATAGCAGCATTGAAAATGATGGATAAATTCATGAAGATACATGTAGACGCATGATTCACCAACAACGGTTCGAAACGGAAAACCATGTGGCGTCCTGTCCTTGCCTGAACTTCGTCAGGTTGCTTGCACAATGGCAATAGAAATTTGAAATTCAATTTGCAAATTTAAGCTGTTACATTCAGTAATACTAATTATTACTTTCACATTCGTTCTTGCATCTTACTAGGAAACCTCGCGAAGTTACCCCCGCCTTTCGGAATGAGACCTATATTTTTTTCTTACTCAAAGCGTATGTTTAGCACATGGTGAGGTGTTCAGCTAACACTGGCTTGATCAGAGTGAGTTGTTTACGGATCAGATCATGGTGTTGGTTCATTAGATAGAACATATGAAATGCACTGTGATCAGTTTCCCCTAACAAGATATCCTTCATACCATAATCACGCCTCATATCTGCAGCTGTCAGCGAATTTCATCAATTTTTCAAACAAAAGAGTTTGGAGGAGAGAAACTGTCATGCTTACTATCACAGCACAAACAGAGAGGAGTTTCGAGCATAGAACGAAACAAAGTTCTCAGGGCGAATCATCTCCAATGTTGTGAATGAGGGCTTTAAAACTAACTGTTTTCCATGATTTAATTACTGAATAATTCGAACAAATGTTGTCGAAACTGGGGATCTGCAAAATCATGTTTACCTGGATTACCTGGATTGGCCAGGCTATCAAACGTTTGTAACGTTGCTGGCCACAATGCTCGCGTTTCCGTTCGCACTGTTTTAGCCTTGATTGTAGCCACCCCGCTGGCTAGGCGAGCAGGCCAAATGAGTACAACCGAGTATTTAATTAGTTGCCGTGAATACTTTGCACAATTAAACGTAGCCAAATATCAATCCAATAAATATTCATAAGTCTACGAAATAAGCATTCCGCCGATCGCTAACCGCGATCAACAAAACAACCGCTCGATGGGTAAGTAACAATGATAAGTGCTTTATATAATACAAGATTATCATGTTAACACCAATGGCACTATCAGATTTGCTCAGTAGCACGGTCTTTGCATCACATCATCGGACTCCCCAGATTTTCTAGTTTCATGACGTATGTAATTTGTTGAGTGATTTTGGCCACATTCAGAGAAAAGCTGATTTTCTTGAGGTATCTCACTTGCTCGGCAGCGTTCATCCCAATCCACTGCTTCAGCGATGACATTCCACAGACGTTTGGTTGGAAAAATTCAACGAATGTCAGTCGATGTTCCAACATTTGAGTTTCGACCGAACAGTTTTGAAGTTCGATCAGAATCCCGAATGTCGGTATACGAAATTGTGATTTCTGCGAAATTCCAGTCGAACTGAAGTTTTGTATAGATGCTATCGTTGTTAATTAATGATATGATACACTGTCTGTTAAAATGTAACAACAATGTGTTTCCTTCTGATATCTCATTGAGTGCAGGAAACTCGAATGAGTCTGCGGTATGTTTGCCATCGTTGGGATATTATTTCAGATATTGCTATCTGCTTTCTTCAGAAGTGCACTCGTCAGTGCTGCGTGAATCTGCCAGTAAACCAACTAAAACATTCTAAAAATGACGACACCAATTCAGATCATTTGTGTGCTGGAATCTGCTTCATAAGGCTATTGTAGCACTTCATATAAGCCTTGGGCAGTTCATAACAAACATTTCAAATCATACAAAACTTCCGTTCGAAAATTGCATTGCATGCAGAATTGATCGAACAGATGAGTATGAAGGAATTTGACCTACCGTCATATGTAATATGCCTATGGCTATCCCGAAAACTCAAGTGCTTTTGCATATAATTTGCATGTTCGTACTCAACCACGCTGACTCAGTGAACTAGTCGAATCGTGAGATGACACAACCAGTTCCCTGCCAGAACCGAAACCCCATTCGATGTACGAAAAGCGAATGAAGTCTCAAGCATGCGCGCCTTCGTTGGGTGGACGACGCTTGAGACGTAAAAAGTGAACACATCACAAACGGATGACGAATTACGATTAATAATAATTTTAGTACGATTTTGATTTACAACACAGATTTTGAGTTCGCCAAACAAACATTGTGATAAGCCGAAAAAAATACGATAGAAGAGTGGAAACCAATGAAGAGAACCGGATTGTTTGGTAAGATAAATGAGAATGAATCAGAGAAGAAAATCGCGAAGAATGTCCATCCATTTAAAGGGTGTGTTGCCATAAATTATCATGTCCGTGCAAAAAATATCATGCCAAAGCAAAAATTTGTTCGCTGGAATGTCACTTACAACAAATTGTTTGAAATCTTTGCGTTGACATAGCCTTCAAATTGTAAAATTCCAAAACGTAAATTGCGATTCATAAGGCAAGTCGCTTAGAACTCTGTATGGAGCTAATTTTTTGAAACAAAAGAAAAAATCAAACTTCCTACCGTTTAAATAAATGACAGGTTATTTCTTTTGACGAATGTGTATTTGACAACTATCTGAGAAGAAAATAGCGACCAACATAGCACAAGAAAATAGCACTTATGAAAGTTGGAATCAAAGGGCAATAAAACAGAGAGTCGATCAATTAAAGTGCTTTTTAAAGAGGTGCTGATTGAGAGGACCATCACAGCACCACATTCTAATACTACCTTAATTTCCATCACTGAACGTAGGTAGTACGTACCGTTACAATTCGTTTCAAACTTCCTCCAGTCTTGTTACCTGACCTGGTGTAATCACAATCAAGTTCTCGAGCAAAATGTTTCTTCTTGTATTCTGCGTGCTGCTGATTACTATGGTACTACCAGGATCATGTCAATGTTGTGGGTGCATGGGAGGAATGATGTGTGGCTATCCATACGGTATGATGGGTGGTATGGGATATGGAATGGGTTGTATGGGGTATGGAATGGGTGGTATGGGGTGTGGAATGGGTGGTATGGGGTATGGAATGGGTGGTATGAGGTATGGAATGGGCATGTGCTGTTATCCGATGATGGGATATGGTGGCTACGGTGGTTATGGTGGATACCTTGGTTATGGTATGTGCGGCTACGGCGGTGGCTACGGAGGAATGTGCGGATGTTGCGGACTATATGGATAATGAACGATGAATTCAACGATCTGCACTGAATGTGAATTAGGATTCAGAAATATGGTAATATCGAATGCATTAACCGTACCTGATTGTAACATCAATACCTACGATTTGTTTGGTTCGACTTTTGATGCAAAATGTTTTTGTAATTTTTTATTTTTCATATTTGTATTATGCTATTGTGGTGGATATTATTCATGTTTTGTTTAATGCAGCGTGATTCGTAATTAAAGTAATCATCATTTAATTGACAACCGTTCACATAGCATCCACTTTACTCTTCTGATCGTTTTGCTTTTTCCCATCTATTCAATAATTCTAAGTTGAATTCATATGGAGTGTTAGAAACATCAAATTAAGGTGCCGCTAGCCATAAGTGAAATTTGATCCGTTGGACTTATGAGAATTATTAATGCCTTGTTTGCGAGAAAGCATATTTATTTCCTAACGTTCATTGGTTCATATGAAATACACTGATAGTGAGATCAATATCAGTCACATTCCATTGCGGAAATGAGACAAGTTGTCACTATCATTTTCACAGAATGGAAAACAGTTCAAACAAAAGAATGAGATCAGCGATAGCCCCTGCTATACAAAAAAAAGATTTTCGTATGAATCATCAAGTTGATGAACCCAACCGAAACAAAGTTTGAAGAAATTTAAAAAAAAATTGAACCGAATCCACTGGATTTATTAGCAACATGCATGGCTTACGCTCGGATAATCGAAGAATGCGGTGCATTTGCTTCAAGGAGCGAAGCAGGTTTATTTTTATGTTATGACAAGTGCAGCGATAAGCAATAGAGGTTGCAATTTCGAGCCTACCGTACTCTCAGGTTTGCCCAGTATCATATGAATTTCTATCTACCGTTCGATCTCTCAGAACCTCTAGATCCTGATTATCACATTTTTGCTGAGCAATTCGACTTGCTTGAAAAGATATAGTTCTTTTCTTAAAGCTATCTCAACTAGCACAGTCGCAATCACTCATATACATTGTATCACTGTATATAATCTACACTTCACTATAGCGCTATAGGGGTTACCATCTTGGAGGTAAAGGTACTCTCAGGTTTGCTCAATAGCATAACCATTTCCCTACACCGTTCGGTTTCCCAGGACCTCTAGATTCAGAAAAATGTATATTTTGCAGAGCAATTTTGCTTACGTGAGGAGTAACCGCTGTTTTCTTGAAGCTATCTCAACTAGCGCCATTACGCCCATTCATGTACACTTTATCATTGTAGATCAAACACTTTAGCATTACAGGGATTACCATTTGCAAGCTAAGGGTGTATAACGATGTCTAATCTCTAGATTCGGTAAAGTTCACATACTGTGGGATGATTTTGCTTGCATGACGAGATATAGCAGATTTTCTGTAGGTATCTCAAGGAGCTCGGCAGCGCTCACAGCTTGTTAACACCATTATGGTTTTCGACATCTCAAGGCCTTCTGTTTGACCATTGCG